ATCCTCCACGTTTGAACAATAACAAACGGCTCGAAGGAGTGCCGATCGAAGCCAATTACTATGTTGTACTTTAGAATGACCAGTAAAATATGGCAATGCATAACGGTGAATCATTGGATCATGGTATACTCGTGTGTATAGTTGACCATTTTGGTTTTCAACATAAGCATTAAAGTAGTGTACATTTGTACCAATAGATAATCGAAAATCAACATTGGACTTTTGGTTTTTCAAAGATTGCAGAAAAGAAGAGAGTATGTCATAAGATTTATTCCAGGTGAAAAATATCTGATCTTTATGTCTAAAAGATAGTTCGTGGAATAATAAATAGTATCGACATCGAGTAGAGAAAATATACTCACCGGCCGAATAACTCTTGATTATATTCGAATTGATTCAATATACTCTGTTGCCAATCATATAAGTAGATGTTAGCCAATGTTTGACTCAGTGACATTGTGTTTGGACTACCCTTTTTTATCACATAGATCTTATTTCGATGTGTAAATAGGTTTTGGTAAAGAAATAGCTGTAAAAGATTTCTGATTGTATTAACTGATACTTTGTTAATCGTATTGTATGCTGATTTGTCCCGAAGAAAAGAAGTAATTGTCTCAATCATTGTTTCATGTGTATCCAGTGAGTAGAAGTTAGTAATCTGTATTGTACAAAAGAGAGTCGTTGGTTTTAAACGATGTTGTTCATACGCATAATACATTAGCTTTTTCATGAAATCAGCTTCATTGGAAAATGTTAAATGTTTCACTTTTTCATCGGCAAATGGTCGAATCAATTTATCAACGTATCTAGCAATATTCGATGTCATGCTTTGATGCGCTATTATCGTCGGTGCAAGTGTTAGTTCGTTGCCCTTTTTGAATAAAACACGTATGCATGAAAGAATAACATGCAGAAAATTATACATATCGACACAAATGACTTACTTTGGAAACATCAGGTAAAAAATACAAATATGGAAACTTGACTTTGTTTAGGTCAATAAATAATTTGTTGATCACAGCATCTGGCAATGCTTTCCGTTTTTTCAAGGTTTCTAGTGCAAAATTGATTGCTTCGATTCGTTCTCTCAATAAATATTGAGAATCTTTTGGCAATTGTTTTTGATCGTCGTCATCGTCGTCGTCATCGTCTCCTTCTTCGGTACTTTTTTTGCCGATAGTAACAATGAATTCATATATATCTGATGATTGCGAAAGAATTTCGTTTACTTTCGCGTGAAAATCATGATTGCTTGTTAAGTAAAATGTATTCTGATTGTCAGCTGTTCGTCGTAGAATGAGATTATCGCTTTTCAAAGTAGATTGTATCGATCGAACTAATGCCATTTCGTCGATGGCGCGTTGTTGAACATGATGCGGCACTGGAATGTCAAAGAGATCAATAAACTTTTGATGGATATCTCTATGAATGCCCCATGATAAAGCAATTTGTAGACGATGTTTTGAGAAGAGACTAGCCAGTTGATGTTTCAATGGTGCATATTGTTTCTTCACAATATCTGTTCGTGTGATCGATTTTGATGAAGACGGAAGTCGAGATTGGCATGGTGGAACATAAGTTGGTCCGCGACTAAGTAGTTGTATCTGTTTTTGATTTAATAGATGTTTAGTATCACTGATTAGATTTGATAAGGATCCGTTGATATTGACATTGTGTTTAGTTTTGGTTGGAGTGTACATATTGTCCAAATCTCCATAAGAACTTCGAAGAAAGAAGTTAATTCGATAATAATAAATATCTCGAAACCGATCAGTAATAGTGGCAAGACGGTGTTCTAATACGCTACTTAATGCTGTAGTCATTCCTTTGTTCCGTACAAGATTCCGATGATTATTGAGCATTTTCATATATTCTGAATCGAAGTTGTTGTCAGCTTGGTAATATTTCGTTTCAGCTTTTGCTATGTGTGGAGCAAGTATATCAAGCTGCTTTCGTTGAAATAGTTTTTCATGTTTATCGTTGAATGATAAATGTGAGTTCGAAGTTGTTGTAGGATCAATAGTGAACGATAGTGATGGATCGATATCTTTGATGAAAGCAGGTAGTTTTTGATAGAAGACTTTCTGTTTTAATTCCATCAATTCACGCTTCGATTTTTCAAGTTCATACTTTGCTGCACATAGTCGCTCGGCAATTTCGAACTAAATAATGTAGAAAGATGATAGTTCGAGTTTCAACAAAATTTGACATTCCATAATTCGCCTACTTGATACTCATTTGGTTTTCCTTGTTCGTATTTTCTTTGAAGTATAATAGCATTATAATCATGTTTTAGTAAAGCTATTTTAAGATCACTTTTCATTTGAAGTGGAATAATACCGTAGTTTTGGACATGTCGAACAATGGCTTCTTCCACAGTTGATGTATATCCAATCAATTGATTTTTCTTGTCATTCAGATATTTATTGTACAGTTGAAATTTGTGGGTGATTTCTTGCAAACGTTCATTGACAAGATTTTCATAATCGAGCTGCTCACTATCTTCAGTTATTTCCATGGCTGTAGTAATCTTGGATTGTGCACGTTTTGCTAGCATGACTGATTTGACTTGTGTTCGCCAAACTCGCCGGTCAATTTCGAGCAGATCTGAATTAGGATCACTTAGTTTGCCGATCCCAGCTCGTAGATAGAGATGAGTGATGTGTTTTTGCATACGGAGCGCAGCTATATGATGCATTAATACTGCTATGATTTGCAAATCATTTGCACTAATTGAACTTGCTGCATTCAGAATCTTTTGAACCACATCAGTAAACAACGGATTGTCAGCTGTTCGTCGTAGA